AAATTAAAAACTTCTGTTATGTTAAACACATTAACAACAGAATGAGATGGCAAGCTACAGACTGAAAAAAAATATCTGCAAGAGACACCTCTCATAGGTCTGTTACCAAAACATATAAAGAACTCAAACTCAATGATAAGACTGATCACTGAGTTAGAGAAATGGACTAACGGACATTTAGAAACATTTTACCAAGGATTACATAATAGTGACAAAGCAGCTTTGAAAAGATGTTCTACATCACAGGTCAGGGAAATACAATTTTAAAAATAATCAGTCACGGGGCTGGGGGTTTAGCTCAGCAGCATAAGCACCTGTCTTGCAAGCAGGCGGTCGTGAGTTCGATCCCCGGTACCGATAAAAAGAAAAAGAAAAAAAAATAATAGTCACAATGGCCAAAATCTAGAACACAACCATACCAAATGTGGTTAGGCTGAGGACCAAAAGGAACTCTCATACTTTGCTGGTGTGAACATAAATTGTACAGCTATCCTGGAAGATAACTAAAATAGTTTTTTTCTTTTTTGTACCAGGAATTGAACTCAGTGCCTCTGTGCCAGGCAGGCACCGTACCACCTCAGTCCCTATATAAAATGAAACATTTTTTCCATATGATTTTGCATGGACACTACTTAGCATTTACTCAAAGGGCCTGAAAATTTACACTCACACAAAAAAACCTGCAGATACTCATAGCAGTTTTATTCACAATTAACAAAACTTGAAAGCAATTACAATGTCCTTCAATAGGTGACAGGATAAACTAAATGTGGTACATACAGACAACTTATGTACAGCAGTCCAAAGCTAAAGAGGCACAGAAAAACCATAAATGTATACTATTAAGTGGAAGAAGCCAATCTGAAAAGGCTACTAACTGTACGATTCCATTATAATACATTTTGGGAAAGAGAAAACTTGGAAGACGGTAAAATGGCCAGTATTGGTTAGAAGCTCATGAAGAGGGAGGAATGAATAGGCAGAGTAGGAAGAATGTCCTAGGGCGATGAAAATGCTGTGTGGTGCTGTACTGATGGACACGGGCCATTACTCACTGACCCAAACACCACTAATCCAAATCACGGCGTATGGGCGGCGCTGATGCACACTTTCACTTGTGAGGGGAATGCGGACCACGTGGAGCCCAGGGCACTCAAGAAATCTTTGTTCCTTCCTCTCAATTTTGCTGTGGATCCAAAATAGCTCTAGAAAAATAAATGTCTGTACCACAAAGGGAGAGAAGATGGATCTCAAATGAACACCTGAATCATTTTCAACTTAATATACTAAAAAAAGAGCAAACTAAACCTAGTAAAAGAAAAGAAATGAAGATAACAGCAGAAACTAATGAAATAGAGACTAGAGAAATACAGAAAGTCAATGAAGCAGTTCTTTAAAAAGATAAAACTGAGAAACCCTTAGCTAGTTTAATAAAGAAAAGGTTTAAATTACTAAAATTAAAAATAAAAGAGGACACTATCAACCATACATACAAAAATATTATAAGACAATATTATGAGCAAGTGTATGCCAGCAAGTCTGATAACTTAGATGAAACAGAAAGCTCCTAGAAAGACAAAAACTATCAAAACGAATTCAAAAACAAAAGAATCTCAGTAGAACTAAAATAGAAAGAGACTGACTTAGTAACTTTAAAACTTTCTATAAAGAAGAGTTTAGGTCAAGATAGCTTCCCTAGTGAATTCTACAAAACATTTAAGAATTCCAAAACTGTACAAGCCCTTCTAAAAGTCAAAACAGGAATACTCCTCGATTCATTCGATAAGCCCACATTATCTCAACACTACAATCAAGTACAGGCACAACAAGAAAAGAAAATGATAGATCAAAATCTATCATAGATATCCAAATCCTCAACAAAATATTAACCAGATCCAGTGAATATAAGGGATTATATATCATGACAACACAGTATTTATCCTGGACTGTAAGGCTGGATTAACCTCAAAAAAATCACCCAATGATGCAGGTTATCAACACGGACAGAACTAAAAACACAGATCTTTTCAATTGCCTCAGAAAAGAATCCAACAAAATCCAATCACTCTTCTTTAATAAATACTTAAAAATTAAGGCTAGGACAAATATCCTCAGTTTGACATAGTGAAAACGATACCTGGCATCAAACAATAACGAAAGACTATTATCCTTATGATCGGGAACAAAACAAGGGTGTGTCTGCACTGTGCACTCCCACTTACCACTATGTTAGACATTCTAGCCAAGAGAATCAGTCAATAAAAAGAAACAAAAGGCACACAGACTGAAAAGGGAACAATGAAACTATCTTTGTACATAATGTAATCTTATATACAGAAAGACATAAAGAATCACCAAAAAACAACAACAAAAAAGTAAAGTCAGCAAAGTTGGAAGGTAGAAGTCCAATATAAAAAGAATTACACTTTAAATACTGGCAGGGAACAATGTGAAAATGAAACCTAGAGAACTCCATTTATAACAGCATAAAACGAATTAATTTTAAAAAAAGAAGTGCATGACTTCTTTAAAATATAAAATACTTTTGAAAGAGATTTTTCTAAAAGATCCAAATAAATGCATAGACATTTTATATTCATGGATCATTAACACTTACTGTTTCTTAAATGGTACTACAGTTAATCTTAAATTGATCTACATATCCAACCTAATCCCTGTCAATATCCTGTATATGACTTAAGACGAAACTGACAAACCAATCCTAAAATTCATATGGAAAGTTAAAGAATGCAGAAGAGCCAAACAATCTTGGAAATGAACAACAGAGTTAGAGGAGTCAGATTTCCTGAATTCCAAGTTCACCGCAATGCTACTGTAATCAAGACTGTATGGTTCGGCACAATAAACAGAAGTCCTCATACTTACAATAAACTGATTTACTTCCATGAACTGACTTTTGACAAAGATGCTAGAATAATTCACTGAGAAAAAAGACAGTCTTGTGTATATTTTTTTCAACAAATAGTACTAAGACAACTTGATATCTACATAGAAAATACTGACATTGGAGCCCTACCTCACATCATACACAAAATTAATTCAAAATGGATCAAATATAAACCATCAAGAAAGTGTAAAAGCAACCAACATAATTGGAAAAATAGCGCTGGAAATGTGGCTCAGTGATACAGCTCTTGCCTTGCATAATAGGAAAAAGTATTTGCAAATCATATATCCAGCATCGTGCATCATGTGTAGGATATATTACAAACGTAAAACTTAATAAAAATAATTCAACTAAAAAGTGAGCAAAGTATCTGAACAGATACTTTCCAACGACACATAAATGACCAATAAAGCCTTAAAACGCTCAGTATTACTGGTTACCACAGAATGGAAATCTGAACCACAATGAAGTATCACTCCACATTGACTAGAAGGGGTATACTCAAAAAGACAGTTAATAAGGATGTAAAGAAAAGGAACATTCAGAAATTGATGGTGCAAATGTAAAGTGGTATGACCACTGTGCAACATGGTCTGGCAGTCTCTCAGCAGGTTAAACATAGACTATCGTATGACCCAGGATTCCACTCCTAGGTATTCATGAAGAGAAATGAAAATAAACGTCCAGACAAAAACTTGAACATCGGGCTGAGGGTTTAGCTCAGTGGCTTAAGCGCTTGCCTGGCAAGCTCGAGGTCACAGGTTTGATCGTCAGTACTAAAAAAAAAAAAAAAAAAAAACTTGTACATGAACATTCAAAGCAGCGTTACTCACAACAGTCAAAACATCAAAACTAGATGTCTATCAACTGTCATTAAATGCAATACGATGTATCCATACAATAAAAAACTATTCAGTTTTAAAAGGAATAAACTGCTGAAACAGGCTACAATATGGATGACTCCTAAAGATATTATATGAAGGAAAAGAAAGGGCTGGAGATTTAGCTCAGCATTGTAAGCATTGTAGCCCTGCCTGTTTGAGGTCATGAGTTCAATCCCCAGAACCAATAAATAAATAAATAACAGTGATTAAGGAAAAGAAACCACACACAAAAGGCCATACATATATTGATTGTATGATTCTACTGATGACAAACATACAGATAAGGCAAATATACACAGACAGAAAAGACACTGGTAAGGGGCTGGGGATTTAGCTCAGCGGCATAAGCGCCTGCCTTGCAAGCAGGCAGTCGTGAGTTTGATCCCTGGTACTGATAAAAACAAAAAAGACAAAAAAAAGAAAGAAAGAAAAGACACTGGTAGTGTCTATGGCTGTGAGGAGCAAAAAAAAGTTTCTGTTGGGTTTTTGTTTTGTTTTGTTTCGTTTTGTCTTTTTGAGACAGGGTCTCACTAAGGCTCTAGGCTGGCCTTGAGCTCACTTTGTAGGCCAGGCTGGTCTCGAACTTGAACCTCCTCCTGTCTTAGGCTCCTGAGTGCTGGGATTACAGGCTTGTGCCACCACACCCGGCTAGAAAAGAGTTTCTTTAAAGCAATGTTCTAAGATTGGTCATACCAATGACTGCACAATGTAAATATGCCAAACACCACTGGATTTGCATTAGCTTTGCATGAGCTAAAAATATAAATGCGAATTATCCCTCAGTAAAGCTGTTGTATTAGTAAACACCAATGATCTCCAGGAAGGCTCTGTGCCGTGGTGGCCCGGGCTGGGGACAGCACCAGGGGCGACATCCAGCTTCACCACCGACCAGGCACCCTCACCACAGTACTTAACATTCCCACCGGCCTAGCACCTTCAGAGTCATGAAGAACATCACCTGCCTCCCAGATGGCTTTGCTCGTTGAAGGAGCAAACTCCCATACGGCACTGAGCCTGGAACTGGGCCCGGCTGCCACAGCTGCGAGGAGCGCGGCCTCTGGGACCAGGCTTTGCTGTGCTGCATGTCAGGGAACAAACCCCAGAGGAGAGTCATGACAGGGCAAAGCAGACAGCAGAGAGAGGGAAAGATACACCAGCAGAGAGTGCGACCGCACCTTCTGGACGCCCCGGGCAGAAACCCCTGGTACCTGCTGACGCTCGTTGCTTCTTCCGCTCAGGCCTCTGGAAGCAGCAGCTTCACTTCTCCTTCTGGTGACCTCATCTATCCGCTCTTCACATTGCTCCTTCACCTCTTTCATCTGGCTGATACATTGGTTCCTTTGGGGGGAAAAAAGGCCAAAGAACAGACAAATACTGACAGACGTGACTATGTGCCATGGTGCTCCCACCTCAGACTCTGAAATCCACCTCAGTGAAAATCACAGACCTCCGCTTTCTGCTGCAGGAGCTCCAGCCCAGAGCTAGCTCAGAGCAGGGCAGTGCGCCTGCTCTCAACAACTAAGGACAGAAGCAAAAGAACTGCAGCTGCCTGAACCCACTAGAGCCCAGCCACACTGCTCTAAAAGAGCTGAACTTCAGTAATTGCAAAACATTTTTAAATACAATCTGTAGAATGCAAAAAAATAGATTTGGTCTCTGTTGTTGACTACCAGCCATTCTGCAAGCCCTGGGCTTTCCTGCGTGTGGAAGCCCTTGGTTATTCACAAAGCCTCCTTGGCTGGCCCTGGCCCTAGGCAGCAACTCACAGGTCAGTGTGACTGTGTGTAGCTGGCTTTAGGATGGGGCTGGTTGCCAGAGGAACCAACCGCAGCAATGGAGGGGCTGAACATTCATTCAGCTCCACTCCACCCAGGAAAGGGACTGAGTCCAATGCCATGGCCAGGGATTTAATCAGTCACACCTACGCAATGTGGACAGGACGGACGCTGGATCTCCGGTCATGAGGAAGGACAGCAGCTGACTCCACCAGATTCCTGTCCACTCACCCAATAAACACCCGGCCTACAGCTCCTGCCGTGTGGCTGCTTCCAAGCCGCACCCCATACAATAAAACCACAATCGTAAGTATAGTGTCCTGAGTTCTGAGTCATTCTGGAAATTATTAAACCTAAGGGGCAGGGACAGGCAGCCTTGAATTTGGAGGCATCTAAGTAGAAGTGGTGTGGCAAGGGGATAGCTAGGACTTGCGGTGAAGTGTGAGGTGGGGCCACTGCTGTGGACTTGAGTCCTTAACCGTGGGGTCTAACTCTGGTAGTGTCACTCCTGAACTAGACAGGAGGACACTCGGCTGCCAAAGAACTGGGTTGTGTTACATGCTTGGAGGCTTCGGCCTTCTCCCTGGAGTTCAGGAGCATGTCAGCAAGTGTCAGAGCTGTGCAACAGTTGAGAGAATCATCTCCTTGCTTTGCCAACAAGAATACTAAAAGGCAGGTGAGCTGGCTACCTGCCATGGACCATGCTGCAAAGGCTACAGCTGTGGGGCCAGGTCCTCCGCGGCCTGTCGGGAGCAGGCAGCCCTCCGAGCCAAGCATGTGCTACACTCAGCCTGACCTACAATGCTCACACCAGTTTAAAGTACCACTGGGCCACAGCCCTGCACACATAGGAACACGGAACTCCAACCTCAGAGAGCTGAGAGACTGAGTGACAAACTCACATGAAAAACTTCTCCAACATGTGTAGAGTAACTCATGTCTGGCAGACTGGCACACAGGAGCACATACACAGTAAACAAAAAAAAGAGATGGCTATACCCTGAGAAACTTAACAAGCAGGTCATCTGCTACCCTTTACACCCACCTGCTCCCAGCCTGCTGAAGGAGGAATGGAGGGTCTCGAACTCTGGGTTGAACATGCTCTATTTTCCAGCTCATAGAATAAGAGCAACAACTTGCAAAAACCTGTAGTTCTGAGATGCAGCTGTTGCAGACTGACAGCCTTACTTCCTGAAAGCCATGACTGGTTTTTCCACCATGTGCACACAGCCCAGGGTGACCTGGGCCCACTTAGACACAGGGAGGCCTGGCCCTGGTAGTTACTGTAATGGATGCACCCACTGGCTGAGGGCACAACCCCGTCTCAATCTCAAAGCATGAAGCTAGCGAGGCAGGCAGACCTCTCCTCCAGAGCAAGGCCGTAGCTGGACACTGGCTCCCTTCTAGCCCAGCACCTGCCGCTATCCCTCCCACTGTGGAGATACGATGGCAATGGGTTACCATAAGCATTCTGGGGAGGAAAGCGCAGGGCTGGCTTGGACAGGGCAGCGGTTACTCAGCAATGTCTACACTAGTGAAGGGGGAGGACGAGGCACACATGCCTACCGACAGCCTGAGAAGGCACTGGCTGAGCCTCAGGCAGCCCAGCCAGGCATTCCTCCAGTTCTTACACTCTCCTCACCGTCTGATGGAGCGTCCACCACACTGGAGACTTGGCATAGGGCCCGCACACACCCTTTTATAATCGTACGGCCAAGCTGCCCATAACTTCCCTCAGATTCTCCAAAAGAGCCTCAAAGAGCTGTGAGTCTAAGCTGGCAAGTGTGCCCATGTGCACACTCACCCCGGGTGTGCACACACGTCCTCCCCTGACTCCGTACCCTGCATCCCCCAGCAAGCTCAGAGTCTTCTGGGTCAATGTTTTCCAGGTGAGACCATGAATGGCCTTTTGCAGTTTAATCAGTGGAGGGGAAATAAAAGCATTAATGCATCTTTCAAGGAAAAATAATAATGAAATGCAGGTATTTCATTCTTCTCCAAATGCAATTCTTTGATTATCAGCCCAACTCAGGGTTGTTACCCCAGCACTACAGATGCTGTGGGCTACATCAAGCTGTCTTGTGCCTTGACCCATGTACAGCAGCACCCTGATCCCCGGACCCTGACACACAGGTAGCAAAACCATTTGCCACCCAAGAAACCCACACGTGGCTAAGTACAGCTCTGGACATGACTTCTAGGCTGCTGCTCTGTGTGGGCTCTGTGTCACGTCTTCAGCATGGTCGCAAGTCATGGGCCACATGACACAGTACTAGTCAGTGACAGACTGTACTCAGGACGGTAATGCTACAGCCCCCAGCCCAGTCTAGATAAGCACTCTGTCACGTGTGCCCTGCTGTCGTGACCCCTCAGGGGGTCACTAATGAGGATAGTCTCAAGTTGTCTCCATTTACCTATGAAGGCCTCAAGATCATCCTTGTTAATAGCTGAGTGATATTCCACTATATAAAAATACATCTTTTTCATTCACTCTGCAGTTGATGGGCATCTTGGCTGTTTCCAAGATTTAGCTATTACAAATTGTGCTGCTATGAACATGGGTACACATATATCACTGTGATATGACCTTTTCAGTTTTTCTGGGAAAATACCCAGGGGGGGAACAGCTGGGTTGAATGGAACTTCCAATCTTAGTCTTTTGAGAATTCTCCATACTGATTTCCATAGTGGCTGCAATAGTCTACATTCCCACCAACAGTGGAGCACTGTTCCTTTTTCCCCCGCAGCCTCACCAATATTTGTTATTAATTGATTTCTTGATGACACCCATTCTTTCTGGAGATGAAATCTCAATGCTGTTCTAATTTGCATTTCTCAATTGACCAGTGATGGTGAACATTTCTTCATGTATTTATTTGCCATTTGTATATCTTCATCTGAGAACTGTGTGTTCATCTCAAATGCCCATTTTTGGAGAGGGTCTTTGAATTTGGGGGGCCTGATGTTTTTTAATTCTTTGTATGTTTTGGATAGAAATCTTTTGTCTGAGGGGTTGCTGATTAAAATTTTTTTCCATTCTGTGGGTTTTCTTTTCACTCTGTTGGTGATTTCTTTTGAAGCGCAAAAACATTTTAATAATATGAGGTCCCAGTTGTTGATTCTTTGAAGTGTTTCCCGTGCAGTTTGTATTTGTTCATGAGTTCTCTGTCTACCCCTTATATGTCCAAGATTTCTACCTACCTTGTCTTCTAGTAGATTAAGTGTTTCTGTTTTAATATTTAGATCTTTTATCTATTTTGATTTTAGTTTAGTGTATGGTGATAGACATGGATCTAATTTTAGTTTTCAGCATGTGGAGAGCCAATTTTTCCAACACCATTTATTAAAGAGGCTATCCTTCTTTCAGTGAACACATTTAGTCCTTTTGTCAAAGATCAGGTGGCTGAGTGTCTTTGTAGTTGTGCTTGCATCTTCTAATCTGTTCCATCAATCCTCAGATCTATTTCTTTGCCAGTACCAAGCTGATTTTATCACTGTGGGTTTATAGTATAGTTTCAAGTCAGGAATTGAGATGCCTCCTATCTTGCCTTTGTTTCCCAGAGTCACTTTTGCTATTTTAGGTTTCTTCTGCTTCCAAATGAATTTAGGAATGTTTTCCCTAGATCTGTAAGGTATGTTAATGGTATTTTGATTGGGATTGCATTAAATCTGTGTAACGGTTTTGGGAGTATGGGCATTTTCACAACGTTGGTTCTTCAAAACTGGAAAGATCATGTCACAGTGAATGGACACCCATGTTTATAGCAGCACAATTGTAATAGCTAAATCTTGGAAACAACCAAAATGCCCATCAATCACAGAGTGGATGAAAAAGGTGGTATTTTTATACAATGGAATATTACTCCGCTATAAAAAGGATTGTCTTGAGGTCTTTATAGATAAATGGAGGCCACTGGAGACTATCCTCATAAGTGAAATAAATAAGAATCATATTTATAAATATCACAATGGTTCTCTGGTGTAAAAAGTAATAAAAACTGTAGGAGTAATAAGATCCACAATGTATAATAGCTATTGTAAAAAAAAAAAAGGGAAGTGTTCTAAAAGAGATAATTGCATGTATGTTTAAGTGTGTAAGTGTGTAAGATAGATAATCACATTACTAAGTTTTTGTTGGATCACTGAACAGAATGGTTTGTACTCTAATTGTTTGATTTCTATTTTCTATGCTTTAATTTTGAAATTGAACAACTATTTCTAAGATGACAATATGTAATTTATCAACTAGTCAATTCTTGGCATTATTTTCTTTTGAAATTCTGTATTACTTCTACCCTTTTTTCTGTTTTGCTTTTAAAAAAAAGGAGGCTATAAATAAAAAATAGTAATAATATTTTTTTTTAAAAAAAGGACATGAGCCCCAGAAGGACCCATTTCTCACAGAGACCTCACACAGCACTCCATGAGGGGACAAGTGAGCTCGCTGCACCCATGCTCGGCCTCTGGCTGGGTTGCACCGGTGGGGATACGGGGGCACTCACAGGTCATAGGAGAACTTCCTCTCCAGGTTGGTCTGGTTCCTCTGGAACTGGAGCACGTCCTGCTGCAGCCGGCCAGAGCTCCTCTGCAGGGCCTTCAGCTGGTCTGTGCCGAGGAGAGAACAAGTCACTGTGATCATGAAATGTATTAGAACACAAAGGGGAGACGAAGGGCAGACACAAGAGGAGACATCCGGCCACTGCCAGCCCACGCCAGCAGGCTGAGGGCCACCGAGGAGCCTGAGCTCCACCATGTCTCAAATGTCTGTTGACTCTCCTTGACTTCAACCCCTACCGTGTGCTGGTAGGTCTACAAGTCTGCTTCTGTCCTACAGCAAGCCCTCACACGCCTAAGCTGTCCCCAGGGGCTCTCCCACACATGTGGTCCTTACCCTGACTTGGACATCTAGCCCAGCAAGCAGCCCTCCATGGGGACACTGCCCCTAGCACTTGCATACCATGCGCCACCCCATGACCCTGTGCTCACCAGGTAACCCCGTCCTCTAGCAGGGCAGCAGCCACTTACTGGAGGAAACTCATTAGCCCCACCTATGCCTGCTCAAAAGCTCTACAGAAACCAGCAGGGCTGCCAGCCAGGCTGGCAGAAGGCAAAGCTGCAGCAATGGTCTACCAGAGCAGAAGACAGGAGCAAGCAGGGCCCAGACATGGCCCTGGACAACTGCCCACGTGCCCAGTGTGTGGGGTGGAGTTCCACGAACAACTGCTGTACTCAGGGACACGGGCCAGTCTCAGAAGTGTCCACAGGGGCACCTTAGGAGCCTGAGGCCAAGGCAGGCAGCAGTATAACAGTAAAGGCTTAGCACAGCGGCTGGGTCAAGGGCACAGACTGGAGAAGGATGGCAGTGGCGGCTGTGAGGCTGGCACCTGTCAACAGGCGCTAAAATGTGCTCTACATGTGGGGAAAGCTCTGCGAGGCACAGTCACTTCCATAAAGCCTTTAATGACAAAGAGCCCATAATCAGATCCAGTGTGGGACAGTGACGCTGCTCAGCAGTAAAAGGCGGTGCACTGCAGCTACACACACACCACAGGTGAATCTCACAGTAATCACATCAAGTCAAAGGGGCCAGATGGGGACTGACAGACTGATTCCACACAGCTATAACCCTGTGGAGAATGCACTCATCTAGACAGCTGCAGACCACAGGCTGTGTGTGGGGGCGTGGACTGATACGGGGAGCTGACAAACCTCACACAGCACAGGTACGCTCTCACTGGGACTCAAGAGCCCGGTCTGCAACGGGCACACAGGGAATTTATGCTCCTAACAGCCACTGTTCTAAAAAAGTAAGTAACAACAGGTGGAGCTTCTCTAATATACCTTATCTAAGCCAATAGAAAACCTTATCACTACTCACACGTGCATATCACATATAGCTGTGCTTCCCCTACTGGAAATGCCTGGAAGTACAAGTGTTTCCAACTGCTTCAGACCTGGAGTATTTTCTGCATTCTCTTGGGACGTGACAGAGTGTAAATGTAAGATTTGCGCCTGCTTCATCCACACCTTGTAAACATGGCCTGAAGGGAATTTTTGTGGCATTTTTAGTATTTTTGTGAATTTTCACTGCGACCCAGCTTGTGAGTTCAGGTGTAGAATTTTCTAGTTGTGGCATCATGTTTGGTCTCAAAGTTTGAGATTTTGAAGCACTCTGGGTTCCTCCATGTCAGCCTCCGTGATTTTTCATCAGTGCTGAGGATCAAGGGGCCTCGCACTCACCAGGCAGGTTCTGTGGTGCAGCTGTGCCCAAAGCAGTGTTTCTTTGCCTAGTTATAAATGAGCTGATATCCTGGACCTTAACCTTGTGATACACTCATTGACACTGCTAAAGGTGAAATGTTTTAAGGAACTATAGCTGGACATAAAGAGCACATGAAAGCCTGTCCACCAGCTGCCTGGGGCCATCCCGGGCAGCTCAATGAAACCACATCTTAAAATGAAGCTTAAAAAACACCAGGAGTGGGGCTTAGTGGCAGAACAGCTGCTGAGTGTGCACCAAGCACTCGGCAGAACATCACCTGCTAAGTTAGTCCTGACACTGCCCATCCTGAACACTTGGAGTGACAGAAGAGGCGGTTCCCCAAGGAAGCCAGTTCCGGCCAGAGGGGAGGGTGGCTCACCTTGCAGGTCTCGGATGACCCTCTCCCCCATGGTGATATTGTTCACTAGTGCAGCCTGCAAGGAAGCAGATACAATGTGAAGCAGCACACTGAGCAGCCCAGCCTTCCCACAAGATGCATGCTGGCAAGGGGGACAGGACCCAGCAGGCCAAGGGGAACCCTGCTGTCAGGGCCACCAGCTGACCTGCCACAGGTGCTGGCTCTTCCACCCCCACTCCAACAGCGGGCTCAAGGCTGTTTCCTCAACACCAGCTCTGAACCCAGGCTGGCTATGGGGGACACAGGGACTCCGCAGCCCCCACAAACAGGCCCTTAATCCATTTCACTTCAGGCCTGGCTGCTTCTGTGCAGTCTTTGGGCCCTAAGGCAGAGCTGCGCACGCAGTGGGTTACACGAGTGGGCCAACGACCATTAGAGGGAAAGCAGCACAAAGCCAACATGGGATAATAACAAGGAGCACAGGGAAGGCACTGAACTCGGGGGCCTCCTAAGGCATGCAGCCAGACACTTACTCCACCTGCCCCACCTTTACAGCAGCCCTGTGAGGAGTAGTGGATCATCCGGGTGCAGGTCTGGGGACGGGCTGCCTGTGTGTCTAGAGTCCAGTGTCCAGAGAGAGACAAAGCCAAAGGCCAGCCCTGTGGGCAGCTCCCAGGAACCAGACTCAAAAGGCCAGCTGCCCACCAACAGTGACGCAGGCACTGACCCCATGGACAGACTGTGCCAATGATCCTGCACCTGTGACCCACCAGGATGGCAGCAAGGGAGAAACCAACGCAAGGGTCTGTGACTTCACCAATTGGCAAGAGATTTTTCAGGGGTGTTTATTCTGCAAGGGAAGAGCACAGACCAAGGACCAGATTTACACAGCTGGAAACTTGGGCTTGTAGACGCTCAGCTGAAAAGACTAAGATTTCTCCAGGATCCCAGGATCCCATTTCTACAGAGGCAAAATAAATAAAATCAAAGCTGGCTCTTGGGAGATACCTGCACTCCTACGTTCCCTGTGTTAGTCACAGAAGGGGACCACGCAAGTGGCCCTGAAGACAGGTGGCCCGACATACTGTGACACATACACACAGCAATATCACGCAGCCTCTAAAGAAAATTCTGACACCTGCCACATGCACCTCCAAGACACCGGATTAAGGCAAACAGTGAGCCAGTCATGAGGGAATGCTCCCCAGATCCCAGGGCCTCAGGCACCTGATGGAGTCAGCACTGCAGAAGCAGCTCATGGAAAGGCGGTTTCCAGGACGGTGAGAGATGGGGTCAGTGTGCAGGAGCTTGGACTGAAGCTCAGTGATGAAAAGGAGACCATCCTCGAGATGCCCTGGCTGACACCGTGCGTAGACATCACGTGGCTGAGCCACGCACTTAAATGACAGCACCGCCCTGCCCCCTGCCCCTGAGCCTCAGCACAGAGCGACTCTCCCTTGGGTGAGTGGTCCCCACAGGGCGGTGGAGAGCCTCCCGCACCTGGGCCACACCTTGTCATGCGTCTGCATGTCGCTTCTGCCATAGAAGAGGAAGAGCGCACCACAGGTGCTTCTTCCACCTGTTCCCTCAGCCTCCCCCCAGAAATCCATGTCATTCTGCAACTGTCCAGGAGTTAGGAGTTAATGCAACTTGAAGTATCTGAAGATATTTCTGTTTCTATGGGACTTTACTCTCCCAAAGAAAATACATTTTTATCTCCTCCCAGCTACTTGTAACTACACAGAAGTTTCCTGACTTCTTTTTATCTTCTGTATAAGGTACAAACACTTGTATGAAACAAAACTTTTTAAATGAGTTAATACATTCCATCCTAAACAATCAGGCTGCTCTTCACATTCTGGGGGTGGTGGACAAGCAGTGCACACATGTGTGTGAAATGTCCCTGGAAACACATGGAAGAGGCCAAGGTACCCTCCAGCCCTGCTTAAGAGCACAGAGGAAGACCTGTGGGTGCGCCGGGCACACATCTGGCATGCTCACTCCACTCTGGGAAATGAGATCGTCTGTATTACATCCCTCCAAGAACAAGCCTCTTCACTCTCTAAGGCTCTTTCAGGAAAACACCATAACTTCTTTTTGTTAACACAGATCTCTTTGTTTATGTAACTCCCAAGGCTGTTAAATATCAGAAGGAAACTCGCCTTCCTCAAAACAATGCAAGCTGCCCAGGATGCAGAGCCTGCAGCCCAGCTGACATCCTGCAAGTATGTGTGCACTGGCAGTCCAGTCACCCCATTTATAACAAGAGCCCCGGACATGCAACAGTGCCAATCTCACACCCACAAGATGGGATGGAGGATCAAGCTGCAGCTGCCCTCAGAGAACAAATCAGAAAGGAGGAGTGCAATACTGCAGAAACTGGGGGCACCTGTTCTGCAAGCCAGGGAGGTATGTAAACCAAGAATTCATTCCAAGATTCTGGAAGTGATAGCGATGGTCCTGTTTGTTGCCTGATACAGAATTTACAAACAAAAATTTTCATCAAATGCTTCCATTTGTAAACCAAAATGTTTACAAACAAAAGTGTTTGTGAACTGAGGTACCATGGTATTCTCCATGCCATGAGGATGACACCTAGTTTTGCCACCAGCTCAAGCAACACCCAGAGTTCCTTCAGTCATGGCTGTAGAGACATCAGAGTACCAAATGGTGAAACTCAAAGAAACTCTTTTTAGTTGGCTCTGAATGAGCTGGGTTTCCTGAGGCTTTTGGTTTTTTTCTTCTTTTTAAATGAAAGCTTTACATCTATGAGCCTCTGAAAGGGGAAGGCTTGCTGATTCCTGTAATGTTAGCAAGGCATCATTCTTGTCCTGATGCAAAGTATTTGGATTTTTTTTTTTCTTTTGCTTTGTTTTGTTTTGTTTTGTTTTGGAGACAAGGTCTTGCTGTGTATTGTAAGGCATCCTTGAACTCATCATATGTAGCCTAGGCTGGCCTAAAACTCATGAGAATCCTTCTGCCTCAGCCTCCCAAGTACTCAGTTTATAGGCATGTGCAACCACATATGGCTGGATTCTTTCAATGTTAATCTTTTGAGCAACCTTGGCCAAAATTTTACAGGGACCAACTATAGAGGTTGTTGTATTTTTGTTTGTTTATTTTTTAGTTTTTTTGGGGGTTCTGTGAAACTCAAAACATTTTAACTAGAATTTCTGCTCCTGTTTTTCAGTGTATATTTCAGTGTATATTTTTCAGTGTATATTTCAAATGTATATCCATGCCACAGTCTAAACATTGGGCAGTCTTGAAACTTTCTCCATGAGAGTAATCGGTCTGCTCCATTAATCTGTTTCCTATCAAGTCTCAGGACATAGCAATATGAAGATAAATTTTCTGCCAGAACATAATATACATGATATCCAGCTAAACAAACAATGGAGTACCTGCTCCCAACTAAAACTTCCTGACCACGTGGCCTTTACTCCCTGCATTCTATCAGCATTTTTGTCTTTTGAGCTCTGACCAGTATCACCCATCGAGCTCTGCTTATATAGAATTCTAGGGCTCTTCTAACCAGCATCTTCAAACCTTCCCAAACTCCTCCTGCAAACCAGATCCAAAGGCTTCTGAACTAAATGGTCAGTTAGTTACAGCTATGACACCTCTCTTGGCAACAAAACCTGTCTTAGTAACTTTTTCTTTGCTGGGACACAACACCAGCCACCCAAAAGTTAAAGAAGTGGAGGTTTATTTTGGCTTATGTTTCAGTCGCTCTAAAGAAGAGGTTATTCCAGATTATGAGGAGCAACTTTAAAGAATAGCATAACAGAGGAAAAGCACTCATGGCACGGTGCTCAGGATGCACAGAGAGAAGGGAGAAACAGGGAGGGGGACGCAACTTTCCAGGTCACATTCCTTAGTGCCCACCTCTGATCAGGTCCTGCTCCTAACAGCAAAGCAGCTGTAACATCCATCTCTGAGCACATGACCCTCTTGGGGAAATTCTTGATTTAAACCATAACAAATTAAAATTAAACTCAGCTTTTTAGTCCCAGCAGCTATAGTCCAGGTATTCAGTAGCCTCACACAGCCAGTAGACAGGTAATGTGGAGCACAGAGACTGTGTCTATCATCAAGGAAACGTTTATCACACAAGGCTGACCTGAAGCAGTGATCAGGAAGAGGGGTCTGTCTGTTTACCACATTTTTCCTGACAGGTTTGGTTTTCAAGCTTTTGTCTAGGCCCTCACTTGGATATAAAACCCACCCAGGGTAACAGCAAATGCCCAGGAATGGGGTATTGGTGAAGGCAGAAAATCTTGATGTTCCGCAAGATTTGCAAACTGGCCAGGCCACAGGTCCCAACACATGACCTCCTTCATCTCTGTCGGTCACTACAATTGCTTATCATGATTCTGAAAAATCCAGAATCTGAGGGGCTCCAAACTCCAAAGCTTTTTGAGCATCCATGACACCACTAGTGGAAAACCCCACATCTGACCTTCTGCAATAGCTCACAATGAAACACAGGTTCAACAAAAATATCACAAGATATCATGTTCACACAGTGTGTGTGATGTCTGTATGAAACTCAAGTGAATTTAGAGTTTAGACCTGGGTCTCCTTCGCATGTCAGCACACCACACATATGCAGTTATTGTAAAGTCTACAATATCTAAGATCTGAAACACTCTTGGTCCCAGGAATTTCAGTTGAGACAATCTGCATCAGACACTGTACGAGTACGTAAGATTATAAAGAGCAGCCTTATCCCAATTCAAATCCAAATGGTAATTTTTCCTTTTTTTTTTTTTTTTTTTTTGTCTTTTTCCTTTTCATCGGTACCAGGGATCGAACTCACGACTACCTGCTTGCAAGGCAGGCGCTTATGCCACTGAGCTAAATCCCCAGCCCTCAAATGGTAATTTTTCTAAAATTAAGGAAAACAGAGATAATGTAGTGATGCTGTTTGAAATAGATGTATGTATATAAAAAAATTAATATAGTTATACTTCTGATTTCTCTGAATTCACTGAAGAGAAAGATTTGCGCTGGTATTGTTTGGACACTTGAATGCAGATGTTCTGTGCTCTGGGTGAATGATTTGGGGATGATAATGAGAAATATATGTATGTACTATTATTGCCCCCTGACTGACGTGTTTTGAAATTTTGTTGTAGCTTTTTTTTCTTCTTTTCTTTTTATCCTTGAAAGAAAATAATTTGGAAAAAAAATAAAATAGATCTTTCTCACCCAAGACTGCAAAATAACCAAAAAAAGGCCAGCTGGAATATAATAGTCTCTGAAAGCAGGACAATACCAAGATGACATTCTGTAACCTTCTATCTGGAAAAGGCTACACTGTCCCAAGGCAAACGGGCCACCCAATGAGCCTGAGGTCACACACTCCCACAGGGGCAGCAGAGACACGGAGCTCCCCAGGCCCTTCCAGGTCAGGCTGGTTCCCTGAGGCCCCACACCTGTGATGGGAGGAGACCTGGACTTAGGAGACTATGGAAAGGGCTGGGGCAGGCTGAGCAAGACACTAGCCAGTGCCACAGGTTGTGCTGACGTCAGGCTGTGGTCACTCTGGGCCTCTTCCTGTAAGCCAGCTGCACTGTCTGCGTAAGGTTCTTTATTCTCAGACAGCCTCCTAATCCTTTTCTTCCTGTTACTTTTTAATTTTTACTTTTCAAAGTTTATATTAACTCTTTAACACATAAACCATAAAAAACATATGTGCGGATGGGACACCATATGATGTTCCACACCCACAGTACACATTTTATGTTTCTGCTGCCCCAAATCACCTGTTGTTTCCGTACAGTGTCAACAGCCAGAACAAAAGGCTCCCAGCTCCCTGGAAAGTTCCGCACATCGTCCTGCTGTGAAACGCACAGAGCTGCCTCTCGTACAGGGCAGGGACTTCCCCTTCCCGCCTTCCCCCTCCTTTCAGAGCAATGTGGGAAAGAAAAAGAAGGCACTGCTGGGCACGGTGGTACACACTGTAGCACGAGCATGCAGGAGGCCGACGCAGGATGACGGCCACAAGTCTGAGGCCAGCCTGGACTATCCAGTGAGACCCTATCTCAGAAAGAGAAAATGGCACCGTGTCTAAGACTTGTGTCTTCTCAGAGTTCAGGTGATGAAGCCTGCTGTAGTCTGGACCTGGTCCCCTACAGGTCATGTGTTTAAAAAAGTGGCCCCCAGCATGGCATTAGGGATGTCTCCACGTCATCGGGGTGCCTGGCAGAAGGGGGTGAGTTCTGGGCTTCTCCCTTCCTCTTCCCTTCTCATCTCCTCAATGTGTGTTTGCATTTTAATTTCACTGGTACACTTCCGACATGCACAGTGATCACACTTACCACAGGGAATTAGTACCTGTACATGATACAAGTTGATTCTTTCTCTTCCCATTTCTCTCCCTTCCCTTTAATCTCCCCTCCCTTCCTTCTTTCTTTGTAGCAAGAGCAGTTTCGTCTTGCTCCCTCCATGCTGTTCTGCTTCATCAAAGCCCAGCAAGGAAAGGCCCACGACCTATCTGAACCCTGCTGAACAGTAAGCCAAAGTAACCCTTTCTCCCTGTCACTGATTCCTTCGGGTATTTGTGACACTGCCTGGAAAGCTGGCTTCCACAGGACAATGGCTATCGTGACAGTGCTGAGTGGGCCCTTGGGAAGAAGCCAAGTGGTGAGCACGCTTGATGCTCCAGAGAGTAGCTGTGTCCCCTCCTGCCCACAGGGACACAGCCAGAGGCGGCACCTCCAAATTAGGAAGCAGGCCCTCCTAGACATTCAATCTGCAGTGTCCTGTTCCCCGATAGCCCAGAGCCACGGGTCCCGTGGTTTGTAAGGCCCTGCCTGCCTCTGAGCAGCTGGGAGTTTATGCAGAAAGATGGCATCGCTGCTGCTGTGCTGCAGTTGCCTCCTCCACCACCACTGTGAGGATAACGGGTAACAGTGCAGGGACAGCTTCCACTCCTGTCAAGCACATGCTAACACTGAGAAGCAGCACCTCACTGAACCTGAACCGCTGGGGGCATACTGGAGATGGGGCTTCCATTGGTCTTCCATTATTATTTCGACTTTACAACTGAGAAACAGGACCAGAGAATTTAAGCAACTTGCCTAAAATTACACAGCCAAGCAAACTCCCAGGCAACTGACTCTGTGCCTTCCACGCCACACACAACTCACTCCCTATCCCACCCTCTGCTGGTACTAGAATGTGACATGGTACCCTGCCACACCCCACCAGGAAAGAACTTGAGATCCAAGCGGTCACCTCTCAGACTCGGCATGTGGCTCTGATGGAAAGTCTGTGCCAGTACTCAAGGCCTGGTATGCAACACACAAGTGATAGTTCATGGGAGTGGACTGTGGCTCACCACACTTCCTTCCCAGCAGAAACAATCTGGTTTTCACTGTAACAAAGATGAGTACCAAACATGGAGTAGCACTGAGCCCTGAGCGTCCCGAGAACTCCCAGCGCCCCAAGGCTCCTGTGAAGGGCGTGCTGCTCTGCTCACTGTGGCTTCTGGTTTTTCCAAGGCTGACCTTCAGCATGTTTCCTATGACCCCCAAAGCTTCCTCTCTGCGAGGTCCCCAAGTGGTTTCCATACACACACTCCCTTTTGAAAATGGAAAGCAGGGCCGGGAGTGGTGGCACAGGCCTGTAATCAGCACTTGGGGGACTGAGGCAGGAAGACCAAGTTCAAGGTCAGTTTGGGGAAGTACCAAGTCACTTTGTCTCAAAAAATAAAAGCTACAACACAGAAGCAGTCACCTGTTGAATTCATCCTTTAAGTGGGCTTCTTCTTTATTCTTCCTTTTTTTTTCTTTCCTTTTTTGGGGCCAGAAGTAAATCCTGAGCCTCGCTGTGCTCCACACATGTTCTGTCACTGAGCTGCTGGAGAAGCCCTGACACAGATTCTTTCTGTAAACAGTCAGAATGGAACCTATGGCTATACCCTCAGTCCTTCATATTTTGAGACAGAGTCCTGCTATGTCACCAAGCTGCCCTGGCTGGGCTTGAACTTGCAGTCCTCCTGCCTCACCCTGCCCAGCTTACAGGCAGTGTTTTTTTTTAAGGGACAGCTAATGAATCAGAGTTGAGAAGTTTCACGTCTGTAGTCTTATCTCCATGGCACGCTGCAGCTCTTCCGCACTGAACTCACCCACAGCAGCCCATTTCTGGTTGCGCTGCAGTGAGCTCCACAGACCCCTCCACATGTTTTAGGAAGCCAGCCTCGTTTGTCAGGGCCTGCAGCCCGAGTCATATCCCAGGTGAAAGCAGCACCCACAGCACAGTTATGCCAACCACGGGCAGCAACTCCTCTCCACTCACTCCTCCTCCTATTCAAAGGAGGCAGCCACACTTTCATATGTGCACAAAATACCTGGGCACTTGGAGGAGTACACAAAGAGCTCGAGATTCCCAGAATCTGGGATCTTACACATCAGCAAACTGCAGAAGCAGCTGGCAAGTTGACACAACAGCCAACTACCAAATAACAACAACCAGATACACATGCAGACACATGTTACTATACTATTTCAAAAAGAAAAAAATGCTTAAAAACCAAAACAGCCATGCATGGTGATATAGGCTTATAATCTCACTGCCTCAGGACGTTGAAGCAGGAAGATCACAAGCTTGAGCAATTTAACAAGGCTGCCTCAAAATGAAAAGTAAAATGCACTGAAACATAGCTCAGTAGTAAAACACCCTGGGCTTGTTCCCAGAATTACACAGAATGAAGCACCCAGTACACCCTGACTCTTCTGCATTTCTGCTGGCACCGAGCTCTCCCAAAGAGCCCAGCCAGGGACCAACAGAGAGATGGGGCAGGGGTTGGAGAAGATGACCACAGCTGCACCATACTCATGTGGTACCCAAATATCTACAGCCAGCATTAGACCAGGAGAAACTGTCACTCAATAGAGACCATGCGGGACCCCAGGCACCCACCTTCTCATCCTGGTATAGCTTGTTGATGCTCTCCAGCTGGAAGCTGTGGCTGGACTGAATCTTGTCCAGCTGTTCCCGCTGCTTGTCCAGCTCTCCCTGGAACTCAATCTTCTTCAGCTCCACGGCACCTCTCTCCGCGGCTGCCCTGCGCACCCGGCCTTCCAGTTCCAGGATGCGCGTCTGCAAGGAGACCATAGTGTGAGGCCAAGCAAACCTTCCTCAGGCAGGACCACTGAGCCCCTGACACCGAGCACATGGGGGCCCGGTCCACACCCCAGGATCTAGGCCTGACTATTCTGAGAAAGCTGAAACAGGCTCTGTTGGAGAAACACTGCCCCAAGCAGGCAGTACACTTCCCTGAGCTTGCAAAACCAGCTCAGGTTTACATATAGCACATATACTAAAATATTCTGTGCATTGCCATAACCTACCCAGGCTAGTTTCTCTTCCTCATTAATGAAGCACTTAACTCTTTTTTGCTTTTCCTGAGACGAATATCTTGCTAAGCTGCCCAGGATGGCCCTGAACTTGCTACTGCTGCCTCAGCCTCTTGAGTGCTGGGATCACAAGCTTGCACTTAACTCTTTAATCAGGCAGAATTTCAGAAAGCTTGATTCTCCAACTCCAGTCACAGAGACCTCTGTGGAAATGGGCTCCGTGAGGCTCAGTTGTGGCCTACAACCCTGGCAGGTGAGGCAAGTGACAGAAGGATATACATGGACAGTGCAGTATGTGGGGTCCATGGACGGGGTGGAACCTGCACCATTCTGTGGGGCTTGTGTTAAGGAGATGGTCTGTGAACAGGGCTGACAGAGAACAGCTGCTCTCATGCTGTCCTGCAGGAAGCAAGTCACCAGGCTATGGTAGGCCTGGGCCAGCCCCCCTGGGGACAGAACTCAGCAGCGAAGGCCACTGCTGCTGAGGGAAGAAGATGGAGGGTGGAGGGCCAGGCCTCAGGGATGGGGTGCTCAGAACCAGACAATATGAGGCCAGGAGAGGCTCTGGGCACATCAAGCCAGGGATGTGTGAGGCCTGGATTCGTCCAAGGAGAAGGTCTTTCTCATTGGTCAGCACCATCCCAGCCCATGACAGTCACCATGTGTAGGAGAGCTAAATCACTCCTACCACTGAAGGATGGTGGTAAAGACCAGGGCTCTCAAAAGCACATTTCTTATAACATCACTCCAACACACTACCAACAGGGCTTTCTGTTACCTCCCATGGACCAGGGTATAGTCAGTGCACCCCAGCTGGCTGCCTTCTCAACCCACCCAAATGCTCGGCGGAAGAGCAGAGGGCCCAGGAGCAATCCTGGACAGGATGGCAGAAGCAGCCCTCTGCCCAAAGCCTTCCTGGCCATGGGGCTGGGTCAGGAATCCATAGGCCTTGAGCACCCACTGCAGTGTCCACAGAACACAGGCCTCCAGTTACACTGCTAATCCTGAGATCAGTCCCAGCAACTTTAAATCCCTGATGGCATCCAGACACACACACCAACAGATACCTGGAGATCCACACTCCGAGAGCTGGCGATCCAGTAGTTGAAGCCTAGGACAATGACACAGGCCACAAGGGCAGCTAGCACAAGTGGTGGGGCCTTCATGCTTCGACGCCCATTTCCCAAGCCCATCATCTCAAAGCCTGGCCGTGGACCTGCTGGGGAAAACAGGAGCACTGGCTTCAGCAGCATCACCACAGGCAGGCGTCACCCAGAGGTTCCTCAAGGCATGTACACCCTGCTGCCCAGCACACACACCACTGAGACCAAGCAGCCCCACTTCTCTTCCTCGAACCCACCCCTGGTCTGCACGGTGGTGTGAGGAGATTGCACCTCCTTAGCACAGTCTAACAGTGGGGTTATGCGTCATATGTTAAATGCTTCCCCTTTGGGGAGAAGTGCTATGGGTTCCTACAGAAGCTGTCCCTAACAGGACCCTAACCTCAAGTGGAGATGCAGCTCTCCAGCCAGCACCACACCCCTGGGGATGCAGCCTAAAGCCCCACAGAAATCCCAGGCAGCACCACTGCTCCCACAAGGAGGCGTAGCAAGTGTTTCTCCTCTGTGCCAAAGGTCAAGGGTGGCTGAAGCTGGGCGGGGTAGGGACCAAGCCCAGTCTGCCGCTCAAAGTACACATGCTTCACCTGGGACCAGGAGGAGTTCCTAGCCTTTGCGTGGGTTCTCTGACTTCACAAAGCCCACAGTGTGACCCTCTGTCAAGGATGAGCCTGAGCCAGGGGGCAAATGCTCTCCATGCAGGCTGGCACACAGAGATTGCCAAGTTTGTACTCAGGTCTAACTGGACAGAAGCACCAATCTCCAAGAACAAGGAAGCTGCTTTTCCAGAGGGCCTCTGATGAACCAGACGGAACAGGGCTTTACCAGTGCGCATGAGGCCACACCAGAACAAATGCTCCCGAAAACAGCGTGTCTCGACTCATGTGCCAGGCGTGGGGGCACAGGAGCGGGAGGAGGGGGCCATCTGGGAGAGGGGAGAGGAGAGGAGAAAGCAGAAAGAAGGAGGACGCGCAGTGTTTTCACCGTTTTTTCAGCAGCTGGGACAAAATGCCCAACACCCACTAAGTAAAGGAGGAGAGGTTTACTCTGGCTCACAGTTTCAGTCCAAGGTCTGCTGGCTCCAAAGCAGGACAGGATGACAGAAAGGCTGCAGGAGGAAACGTGTCCCTGGTGGCAGGCAGGAAACAGCGGGTGCAGGGAGAAAGGAGCTAGATATACCCTGCCTGGCCCCACCTACAACTGCACCTGCAGCTACTCGTCCAAGTTGAATCCAGGACAGCACAGTGCGGTGAGGTCCCAGTCACTTTCCAAACACGGTGCTGCGGGCGGGGTCACTCTAGCGATAAACCGGAGAGAGGAGGAGAAGCTGAGGGCAGGACCGGAAGGTGAAAATAGGGAGGAGACAAGGAGAGCCATGAGGGGCTCCCCTGTGAGGCACAGTTCTCACTGGGGTGAATGGGAGGCGGCTGGGAAGCACCCCCCACCCTCATTGTCTACTGTGCCCCCACAAGGATTCTTCTCTTTTAGTGGTTGGCTCCTAATGTGGGAGCCTGGTGGCACCCAAGAGCAACAACCTAACAGAGTGGTCTACAGTACAGCACCCACACACAGCCACGGGGAGATGGAAGCTCCAGTGACGCTAAAGTCGTTTCCACAAACTTCTGATCTCAGGCTTCTGATCTCAGGATAGACAGGAAAGAGTATTTTTAGTTCCATGATTACCAGACACCAGCAAGGCAGTCTGCACCGCAGGAGAGCAGCCTCAGGTAGAAACACTAACCTTCTACGAAAGTCTACTGAAAAGTGCTCCATCACATCAGTTTGGATAAAGAAAGGATTTGTTTAAAAAATTCTCCTTAACCTTTAAGATAAAAGTTAGTAACATAAGAGAACCACTGCACAGTAGACGAGGAAGCTACATCGCCCCCTTCCTGCCCCAAGTGGAAGGACAGCACTGCCTTTCCACATCCCAAAATGTAGGCGCTCCCAAGCCTCAGGACACAGGTTCCGCCTCCCCCACCCCAACTCCAAGGTTCAGGGCGAGGCCGTGTGGGTGTCTCCTAATCTCCCTGCCTGGTTCAAGGTGCAGCCACAGGCTAGCTGTTTCCTCTAGTGCTAACACCCTTATTTTTCATCTAAACAAGACCTAGCCAGGGTGCTCTGCAAACACTTGGGGAGAGGGCGCCCACACTGCTCCCTTTCCCTGCAACACATGTGCAGCACTTAGACTGTCTCTTTCAGAAAAGCGGGGTACCCAGAACATAGACACCCTCACACATCCACCTCATGTACACAAATGCCTTATCCATAGTTCTGATCTCCAAAATGTTCTGAAAGCCTTGAAACTGTTTTTTAATTTTTTAAACCAAATAACCTACCTGAATCAAGGTCTAATCAGAACTCACATTACTTCTACTTTTTAATCTTTCTCCCTTCTTATGAATATCCAGACATTTCCTTACAGAAAGAGTTTTGTTTTTGGTACCAGGAATCGAACCCATGACCTCCCGCTTGCCAGGCAGGCACTGTACTGCTGAGATACATCCTCCTCCTCCCCGGAAAGATCTTTTTCAAAAAAGCATTTTGCGGGGTTGGGATTTAGCTCAGCGGCGTAAGCACCTGCCTTGCAAGTAGGCGGTCGTGAGTTCGATGCCCGGTACCAATAAAAAATGAAAAACAAAGACAAAAAAAAAAAAAAAAGTATTTTGCTCTCTAGTTGGTTGAATCTCTAGGCAGAACCCAAGCTTGCGGTTTCATATTTACATTTAAATTGTGCATCGATTTGGAATCCCTTTTTGACAACGAAGAGTAAATATAAACGAACTTTGGAGACTCCTTTCAGGCCAAGCCGCAACACACACGGTCCCGAGCCTGCCGGACCCCGCAGGTCAGAAGAACCAGGGGCCCGGCCTGCAGGTGCACGCACCCTGGGCTTTGGGATGTGATGCGCTTATATGGTATGAGGCTCCCGAAAGTCAAAAAAAGCCAGGGAACCTGCAGCTTCTGGTCATTTTAATTTGAACAATTCCACATCCTGGGCAAACGTTTTACGGGCCTATAAGACAAAAAAGTTTTCAGGAGGGAAGGCGGAAGGACTGAAAAGCGAACTCCGAAGCGAGGAGGGCGAGACCAGCTGTGGTCCCCAGCTCGCAGGGAGGAGAGAAGGGAGGAAGGCAGGAGGAAGGACCTCACTTAGAGAAGGAAGAAACCTGTGTGAAAACGGGCAACCTGTCAAAGGCGTGAGCGCTACCTCTTATTATTTCCTTTTTAAAAATTTCCTTTTCATGTGGGTTTTTCATGACTGCCACAGCCACACCCATGAAGGAGCCGGTCCCTGCCAGGTCCCAGGCTTGCCAACACAGAAGGTCCCCTTCACCCCCAATGCAGCCAGTGCAGCACTCTGCCACCCATGGCCACCGGGCCTTCTGAGCGTTGAGAATCATTCTGCCCCTCCCCAGAGTGGCTCTAGGCCACCAGCATTTCCTGAGAGCAAAGGTTCCAGATGCGGCCACGCTGTGCCACGCAGCATGCTCAGTGTCCTCTGTAGCTGCTGCCTGGCTGCAAGGCAGAAAAAAAGGCTGAACAGAGACACCAGGAGAAGTTCATTCGGAGGCTTACACTGGGAGCCAACTGCCAACTCTCGGCCCATCCATGGGATGCTTAACCTGCTCACAGAGCTACCGGGAGATCCACAGAACTCCTCCTGGCACTGCCTCAAGCCCCACACAAAAATACTGTGTTCCCCACTGCTGGAAGAACACTGTTTCTGGAAATTAAAACTTGAAAAACAAATGTGTACATTCAGTGCTAGGTGGTAGAAACAAGGAAAAGCAAGCTAGGTCCCTAAAAATCGTAAGAAAACAATATTGTCTTGCCTAATCCAGCACACGGAATTTGTTGAAGGTGGGCTCTACCTGCTCTCTGAGTCCCTACCTTGGCAGTAGCTGCTGAATCTTCTTTTCAGCTCCATGGTTCCCAACTCCCAGGGCCAAAGCCTGCCAGCCACCCACAAGTGAGGTTAAAGGGTTAAAAAATTCAAACATTAGCACTTCATGATGCGTGAAAGTTATATGAAATTAGAGTTATACCTACAAATAAACTTTTATTAGAACATAACTATGCCTGTCCCTTACCCTAGCATACCCCATGGTCAGCAAATCCAAGGCCTTCTATAAAATGGTCCAGGGTTTGGTTGTACGCTACACACTTCATCTCTAAATGGCTCGTAACACCTAACTATCCATAAACATTATATGAGAGTTGTTATGCTGTACCACCTAGACAGTGGCAAAAGAAAAAAAAGGCCTGGTCATGTTCCATACACGAGCATACTTTCTTTAAGGGTTCGATCTGAGGTTGGTTGAATCTGCAGGTGCAAAACTCAGGGAAAGGGACCAACCGGGTGTATTTTACGGCATGGGGTTACACCCAAGTTGACAAACTGTGACAGGGCCTGTGGCTTGTAAGGGCCACTTCATAGAAAGCGTGTCAATATGTGCTTAGTTCACTGATTCTCAATTGGGCCCCCGGGTGAGATCAGCAGACTGTGCCTGGAAATCTCTTTTGAGAATACAACTTCCTGGCCTAACCCAAACTGGAGACTCAGGTGGCGCTGGGCGAGTGTTTAAAAGTCAAACCAGGCAATGCTGGGAGTGGCTACAGCCAACCTGCTCAATCTGGTTCTCTCAATCTGGTTCTGACTATACCCACTCACTGTTAGGCAGCAGAGAGGCAGCTCAGAGGTGTACTGTTTATTATGGGTCAAGTATGTACATTTCTCTACCACCAGAAGTTGACTGTTTGTTTTCCTAGTTGATTTTTCTTATATGCCAATACCTAGATGGTCTGGGGATCACAAATAATAGGAAATCAACAGCAAAAGAAACCACAAAAACTACATAAACACATGGAAATTAAATAACATCCTCTTTTTTCTTTTTTTTTTCCCCCGCCAGGAATCAAACACAGGGCCTCATGCTTGCCACGCAGGTGTTGTGCTGCTGAGCTACATCCCTGGCAATGACACCCTCTTGAACAACCAATATGTCACAGATGAAACTGAAGAAAAAAATAGACATTTTGTGCAATTAAATGGTCATTCCAGTAAAACATACTGGAACTTAGGGAATACAATGAAAGC